AAGATGCACTGTTAAGAATATTTTGTACCGCGCGATTCCTAATATCTGACAAGGTATGATGCATGGGTCACTGATTCAATTCATCTTTAGTACACGTGTAGGTCACGGCCAGTGCAAGTAGTAAGGTACGCCTCTTAGCTGTTTCCAAGAAATTAAGTCATCGAAATTTCAGTACGTTCAAGTACATTCTACGTTAGCGAAAAATAAACGAGCGCGTGGCGCAGCGGCAAGAGTCCCGGTTCGTAAGCGCAGGTTCGCTTAATCAAATCCCGCCGGTGAACTTTTTTTTTCAAATATTTCGTATTTCTTACAAACTTAGGTGTCTTGAATATATTTTATTTTGGAATCAATTGTAATAACTTCTTTTTTTTAGCGGGAAAAAAGATTCTGAAAAAATTGTACAGGAGTCAACTTTTTTTTTAAATCACATAATTTATACGTTATCTGCACTGTAAATAAATTATTATTATACAAGTTTATGTGTATCCATTATGTATATAATGTAACCTTATTTGGACGATACGGTTCTCCGGATCGTGCCAAAACGGCGGGTTCGAGCTAGAATCGACTGTTAAGAATTTACGACAGATATCAGGCGGAACAAATGAAAGTGAGATTTTGTTTTACAAATTACAAAAGAAAAATATATTGTCCTACAACGGAATACAAGAAGGGTTAGTGCAGATCCAGCCAAGAGAATGCTGGATGTTAGTAAGCGAAGAATAGATATAAACGTAAGCGGAAAGTAAGAATGATTATAAATGATATATACAGAAGATTAGTGTTCGGAAAGTAAATTGTATCAATATGATTGTAAGACGCGGTTTACCTACACGATATGTTTGACGGGAACGAAAAGAGTAGGTCCGTCTACTCTCGTGTGATCGTATTGTGACTCGGGTTGTTTTTATATAAATGAAATAGGGAATCGTGTCTGAAAGCAGCCTCCGACCAGCGGAATTTAATGACAGAGTTGACCCGTTAGAACATAAGCGTTGTGCTGTTGAGCAGTCTTCCACTAGGGAACTCGTGATCACAGGTAGACGCGGTCCTATCTAAAACAACGTTGCTATCTTGGCGAGGTGAGAAGTCTCATACCTTTCCCAACGCCTCTTGCCATGATCGTCGACTAGTTTCAATCGTGGTAAGCATACTCTTAAGCGTATTCATTACGCGTTCGACTTGTCCGTAAGCTCGGCTGGAGTCCGTAGCTATCAAATGCAAGTTCATATTTTGAAAGGTACAAAAGTCGCGAAAATCCCTGCCTGCGATGCACTTACCTTCATCTGCCATTACACTGGAAGGTATCCCGAACGGGGCTATGCCGATGATTTTAAAGCTCTAATGCTACTGTTAATGTCTATATTAAGGGTATGATACAGTAAAACATACAGTAACGTCCAATTGAAGTGGAACACTTCAATTTTTGTGTGTTTATGTGAAACTATGACCGATTTCAAAAAGCCAAAAACATATTTTTTATGAAATTTCCTCCCCGTTCAAATGGTGAAGGTTTTATCCGGATCGGATACCAAATGGCTGAACAGCAGGGGTTGAATTGAAATGGTGTATTTTGAGATTTTTTTTAGAAATGCCAGAACTAGTAGTTCCGGAAGCAAATTCAATGTTCTAATTAGGACACTTGTGAGAGCATCCTTCGGCAGTCGAAAAATACTCCCATTGAACCCCTGTAGCATCACTCGAGGGGGAGCTACACCCCCTTGAAGTAAAAATACTTAATTGGTCATAACTTCCGAACGCGCCAGCCAGTCTGGTCCAGTTTCTGCGTGATATCATCTTTAACCATACTACAGATTCTCACAAAATTATCGTTCTCGGAGATGATCTTATGATGGAGATCTCGAGATATCGTAAACGCACCCGAAGCTTTCCCGCCATTTTTCATTAGGAATGCGATGTAATAGAAGTTTCATATCTATTCCATGTTGTAGCTGAGATGTCAATGATTAAAACGCGCTTTTAAACATCCAAAAATGAGTTTACTAAGGGGTTAAATTTTTCATTTGAAAAAACGCCTAATTTTGCGAGCCTCGCTCGAGGTACTCGGGTGACAATCGTTTGGCGCACGTGGTAGAGTAGTAGTCATCCAAAAATTGAAGTGTTCCACGTGTTCAATTGAACGTTATTGTATTTAGTAAAGGCATCGATCAAGACGATCACGTATTCCTTTAAGGGGAACATACCATTTACAATTTTCAAATAATCGATTTTTTCCCTCATACTTCGAAAGTATAATATATTAAGAATGTACTGGAAAAAGGCTAAATCGGAATATTAAATATTTATGGAGTTATTGCACATAGCCGAGAGCGCCGGAGTCCGCATACCATAAACTAGCGACTCAGGTAGCTGGAGCGCTTGGGGTGGAGCAACTTTTCTTTCACGATAACTCTGTACAATTCTTTGAAGATCTCACTTCATCACTTGGCGACGAGATTAAACAGCGTCTTCTACCAATTTATAAAGATTTATTTAGAGATGATTTACTGGAAAAATGCTTGGAGGCCATACCCAGAACGCCAATGAAATTTTCAACGCGACAGTTTGGCGATTATCTCCCAAGCACCTGCATTCTGGATTGAAAATGATTGAAATTTCAGCCTATATTGCTGCTGGGATATTTAGTGAAGGTTACACCTCCATTCTCAGAGTTATGATCAACTTAATTATAATTGTTGGCACCTACTCGAAGGTTTTCGCCGAAAACACCGATGAGGCGCGAGTAGCGAGACAGAATCGGATGAGCCTTTCTGAGACAAAAGCAACTGATGCAAAAGATGAAAGCAACGAAGCAAAAGATGATCAGCTTTTAGAGGAGGCTGAAGGTTTATTATATGGGTCTGGAATCGCTGATTGATCGGTAAGTCACTAAAACTAATAGTTTTATCGTATTGAAATTTTAAACGCAATTATCTGCAAACTACGTTTTTAAAAACTGATTGTGTTGTAATTCAAAAAGTTATTAATCGATCTGGCTGAATTTATGAGAGGTTTCTGTCTACAACATTATCAGAAGGATATACCTAAATTTTTAGAGATATCGCCTAAATAAAATACTTTTTTGGGGTAGAAATTGTCGAAAAAATAATCGAAAATTTGAACATTTCATTCAACAGCCTACCTAAGTTTTAATTTTATACTTTTTCATAGTTTTATAGGTTTATCCTTCCCCTGCACACATCAGTAATCGAAAAATAATTGTTTTCTTGGTTACAAGTACAGCACTTTTCGATGTCACGCAAAAGACGCCTGGAGAAATACCGTACAGAGCCACTATTTTGTTTTATAACAAAAAAATTTTTTTCTATGCTTCAAAAGTGGAATAAAATGATATCACAATCTTAGAATGATGCGATTATTTTATCACCTTCAACAAAATTCATAAAAAATGTCTCATTTTCGGGCGTCTAAATGGTATGCTTCCCTTAAATCACTCTTACTGCTCAACTTTCAAGTTACGTCGATATGAAGCGTATTTTAGGGTATACTGGTCTTAGGAATAGGGTGGACCTTAGCCTGAACCTTGCCTGAGTTTGACTTTGACAGTTTACAAGTAATACAATTATCAACGAATCGGCGTACATACTTTGACATTCCCTTAAACCAATAATACTCGTAGATTTTGTCAAGCGTCTGTTGTCATCCCAAGTGCATGATTGATTCGCGAACGTGGTTCATAGTCGGCCACCTGAAAGCTCGAAGCACAACAGGCAAACATCGCTTCCGGCCATTCCTCTGTATCCTGCGGCAGAGTGTTCCCGATTGCATCTCATAAGTCCTTCTAGATGAAACTAGTCACAGCGACAGTCATGGGGAAATAATATTAGAAATTATTACTTTTAATATACCTAGAATCCGAAATACAATCGACAGACTGAAAGCAAAACAAACAAGTGCCCAGACGCTATAGGCCGGCACGCGCCGAATGTAATAGAAGGAAATGTAATAGAATGTTAGGAAATGTAATACCAGTAAACCGGTACTTGAAGAAACCGCTAATCGAATTAGTCAAATAAAATAGTTAAATCCAATCGTAAATCAAAATATTGAATCCAAAAAGCGACGTTAACACCTCGGGTGGATAAAAATCGTTATACCTACTAGTTTTAACGTATGTCTATCGAGGATATAAGCAGCGGCTTCCTCGATAGGAGATTCATTAGTGTTTCTCTAGACCAGTGATTCCCAAAGTGGTCTATATCGACCCCTAGGGGTCTATGACAACCTGCAAGGGGTCTACGTCAGCGAAAAAAAAATTTGGGGGTCCATGAAATGAAAATGGGGGTCCACGATAGTGGATCTCAACACATACACTGATAGTACCTATTTACTTACATCATACTATCTTATAATATCAAAACATATACATTATTTATAAAAGTACCTATGAAGTAAAAAATTTATTATATATGTTTATAAAATTGTGTAAGTTGTAGGATGTTGGTATTCGCTTTGTGGTCACAATACATTTTGAACTTGTAAAAACCTGAGAGTCGCAGTCTCAGAGCTTCGCTAATTTGCACTGACTTGTTCAATTCGTCACTCTATAAATACGAATGTGGGACAAATACGTTTATTCGTTTCCTGAATCTTGAAAGGGAAAGTGCTAAGAAAATATTTTAAAAAATATAAACAGATAGTATATCATACAAATTATAGTGAGTCAGTGTTATTTTGTTTGAGAGTGCTGGAGAAAAGTAAGTACATTATTTTTTATTAAATTTTAGTTTTGTACTCGTAGTTAGCAAAGATAGATAAATTACGCCAATCATGACTTTAGTTATTAATAGTTTAATATTCAATCATGCAAAATTACACGAGTACTCCTCAATAGTTCCTTTTTGAAAGTTTTAGCAATCGGTATTATAATTACAGTGCAATCTCCGTAATTCGAGCTAATTGTTGCAAGAAGATGTTCGAATTATGGAATGTTTTCGGAAAAATCAACAAATATTTTTAATATACAGCTGCTGGATTATCTGTCTTATTTAAATAATTTAATTTTGCCCACAGATGACTGATGCCATGTCCGAACCTAAAAAGAAATGTAGACAGTACAGTGTTGATTATTTGAAATTTGGCTTCATTCCATCATTGCTGGACAAACAATCGCCTATGTGCCTTTTATGCAACAAAGTTTTGGGCAATGACGCTATGAAACCATCTAAACTGCAAGATCATCTGAGAAGATGCCACCCTGATAAAACAGAGAAAGATTTGAAATACTTTCAAACACTCAAAGATAAACTTCAGAAGAGACCTACACTGGACAGAATGTTCGCTTCGACGTCACAAAGAAATGATGATGGTTTGCGGGCGTCTTACAATATCTCGTTACTTATAGCAAAATCCGGAAAACCGCATACTATCGGAGAGAAGTTAATTTTGCCAGCCGTTGAAGAGGTTTTAAAAACTGTTTTACACAAACCTGCATCTGATATCATTAAAAGAATTCCCTTAAGCAACAATACTGTTGAAAGACGTATTGATGAAATGAGTTCTGATATTGAAAGCTTCTTATGTAATTATTTGCAAACGACCCATTTCTCTATACAACTGGACGAGTCAACTTTACCTGATAATGCAGCATTATTATTGGCATATGTTCGTTTTATTATGAATCAAGAAATCTACGAAGAACTGCTCTTCGCAAGAACTTTGATAACCGACACTAAAGGTGAATCAATATTTCATGTTTTGAAGGATTACTTCATTGAAAAAGCAATTCCTTTATCAAATATAATATCAGTAGCTACAGATGGAGCACCTGCCATGGTTGGACGTTATCGTGGATTTATAAGCTATTTAAAACAAAATGTGTCAGGGGTGTTAGCAATACATTGCGTCATCCATCGACAACATTTAGTTGCTAAAAATTTGAGTGTTAGATTGCATGAATCACTTTATTTAGTCATTGATGCAGTAAACCGAATCCGAAGCAACGCGTTCAATACGCGGTTATTTGCGCAGTTGTGTGAAGAAAATGACGAACACTTTCATCAATTACTCCTTCACACTGAAGTACGCTGGCTGTCGAAAGGCTTATGTTTGACAAGATTTTTTGCACTTTTTGAGACTATTTTAGAATTTCTGGATACTAAAGATAAAATTTTAAAAGAAAATTTAATGAAGAGGAAAACAGACATCGCCTATTTAACAGATTTGTTTACAAAATTTAATATGGTTAATTTGCAATTACAAGGCGACAGTTTAAATTTGATTAAAACAAAGTCCATCTTATCAGCGTTTCTTGCCAGAGTTAAACTAATGAAGCAAAATATTGGACGGGGCGAATTTTCTCAGTTCCCCAATTTGTCACAGACAAGCTGCCAGGAAGACGACGTTTCAACTTACGTTCAACATTTAAATGCCCTCTATTCAGATTTTGAATCTAGGTTTGAGGATATTTTGACTATGGTAATACCACCGTGGATAATTAATCCATATGGTGACATAGAAGAAACGAATGTCATAATACAAGAGGAACTGACTGAACTAAGTACAAACGAAGAACTTAAGGTTCAGTTTAAAAACGGATATCAGCAATTCTGGCTGCAAAACAACATACCCGTTACTTATCCCGTATTATGGAATATAGCGAGGAAATTTTTAATTTCCTTTCCATCGTCATACCTAGTGGAAAGGGGGTTCAGCGCTGTTACCAATCTCCTAACGAAAAAAAGAAACAGACTGGACATCATTAGCCGAGGAGATTTAAGATTAACCCTTACAAAATTGACGCCAAATGTTGATAATTTATTATTAAAGCATCAGGTTCATCCTTCTCACTAAAAATATTGACTTATTGCTTATGTTATTTTATTTATAGTTTATTTTATGTTTATTTAATGTTACGTATATTTTACATAACAGATACAAAATTTTATTTTGAGTAGTTTTAATTTAAATTCAATTAATAATTGTATAAATTAACATGTGTTTTTACTTTAAGTTTTTAACACTAAACTTCACTACGGTTAGAAATTTACAGGAAATCAATATCAGGTAAGTAGGGGGTCTACCCAACACGGAAAAACATGGGAAGGGGTCTACGACACAAAAAAGTTTGGGGAACTCTGGTCTAATATTTTGAGTTCCAAATTTCGTATGGGGAAGAAGAAGAAGAGCTCGTGGGGAAAAAATATACGCGATCCGTATCAGCTGGGAAAAACATGGGAAGGGGTCTACGACACAAAAAAGTTTGGGGAACTCTGTTCTAGATGATCCGCGAGTTCTCTATTTTTAAATTTAGAAACGATGCCCGAAACTTCTTGGTCGCGTGTTTGTTTCGCGAGCAACAAGTTATTATCTATTTCAGCGATATTAACACTTCTCTCTGGTATTTTAATGAACGATTTACGTGGCTTCTCCGGCAAGGGATTTCGTGAAAAGAAATCTGTATGGGCCATACGCTTTCCTTCTTTATACAAAACATCAAAATCAAAGGACTGTAAAAAGGCCCACTAAAAAGGTGTACTCAAGGAGTTAACTCAATTTTGTTACGAGATGCCCTTAAGAAATTGCAATCGGTAACGGCGGTAAATCTACGAGCCTGCAAATAATTTTGGAAGTGCTTTGCCATTTCGCAATTCGTATGAATAGTACGTTGATTCGGCAGGGGAAGTTCGATTATTATAGTACTCGATAACCCGTGGCCTATCGTCCACCTTTTGCAATAGAATTGCGCCATAATCCTCAGAGCTAGCATCTGTATGCAACTCTATCGGGTAGTTAGGGTTAAAGATCATAAGCACTGGTTCGCTTGTGAAGGCCGAAACTATTCGTTGACGAATTTCTTCATGTTTCGTCTTCCATTCTATATTACTCTTCCCGAAATCAATAGATAGAGAGGCCTCATTGTCCGAGAAAATCCCGGCAGAAACTGACGAAAGCCTATAAACTGACTTAACTGAGTGACTGTTTCTGGTGAAGGCAGAGCAGTTAACGCTCATATTATGTGAACGTTAGGCCGAATCTCGTCGGCCTCAATCTTGTACCCAAAGTATTCGATTGAAGTCTTCAAACAGGAACATTTTGCAATATTAAAGGAAAATCCTGCTTCTATAAGAATTTCTAACATAATTCGAAGTTTCTCTAAGCCTTCCACCATAGTACGAGCTACTATCATAATATCGTCCATATAAACGACGACGAAGGTATAGTAAAACAGATAGTGGATTCCTCAGTCCGAACGGCATGGTAAGTATTCAAGTATTCAAATCGGCCGTCGGGAGTAACAAACGCGGTACGCTCTATTGAGTTTGGGTGGACAGGAATCTGGTGAAACCCACTTGACATATCCAAACATGAGAAATAAAAAAAAGTCCCCACAAAGTCTAGCAATCTGATCAGAAATGAGAAGTAACGGATATCTATCCGGTACCGTGTTATTATTCAACTCACGGTAATCCACACATAAACAATCAGACCCGTCCTTTTTTTACGAGTAATACAGGACTTGCAAAGGGAGAACAACTAGGACAAACAACACCGGCCTTCATCAATTCATTCACCCTGCCTCTCACTAACTGCCTCTCGTCAGGGCTGAGCCGATAAGGCCGACTCTGAACAGTAATACTACGATCAATCAACCGTATTTCAAGCTGGCCCGTAGTAACGCGAGTGCGCGGGATACCCCTTATGAAAGACCTAGAGAACTCTGCCACGACAGAGAGCAATGGCAACCTATCGTCACCAATAACGTCAGTATCAATACTACTCAAATCCGCAGCGTCGCCCAACTCGGTACAAACATTGACCATTTTAGTCCTAGAAATGCTGAGACTCTTCAACGTCATACGCACATCAAATCGCTGACTAAGAGTTTCACGGCCGATCATTATATCATCTCTCATATGAGCATTCGAAACAACGTGAAACAAAACCTCCAAGGGGCTTTCGTTTACAACAACCTCCGTCAAGATCTGCACGGCACTATGTACGGTAGAACCGTCAATACCTCTCAAAACAACTACATTATCAATTCTTTTACCCAGAACATTGCGGCCACGGTCTCCTTTACAAGAAAACATTCCGCTCCGGAATTGAAACAGAATGAAAACGACTCATCCGATTGAGTCAGCAGACCCGAAGGCGTCGCGACTTCACACAAGTCCACTTGCTTCTCGTTGCTCACGCCTCCGTTGTCACTGCTGGTCGAAGGGCACCTCGAAGCGATATGTCCAATAATCCGACACTTAAAACAAGTCACGCAACTCCTCTGCCACGGCGTCTTGTCAGTGAGCTGATTGCTTCGAAATGACGCCTTACCCTTTTTTTTTCTTCAAGCGGCAATTGGCGATCTTATGGCTCGCTTTTTCACAATGGTGACATTTCATCGTAGGCCATATTTTTTGACGGTTTTCAGTTGTTGCCGCCGAATCTTCCAAAATTGGTGCGGCCTTTTCGTATATAAAAATGCCCTTAGTCATTTTGCAGCTGTATCCTGGTTTTTATAACGGTAGTAAACGCCAATCTTTGTAGTCTGTTGTCGAACTGAGCACTGTGAGCCAGCACAACGGGATTAATTGAAATTGTTTATGAAAGTCACATGATCCGACCCGTCTTCATGATTATGATACTGTTAGAGTAGTTTCGCTCAAATCCATATTTAGAGGACAGCCAATAGACTATGAGCGAGACGATAGTCAATAGAAATCAAGAAAAAAGGTTAGGCAACAAAGGAAATTATCTCAAGTCTTAGTCTAACGAGGAATGTCTCTGAGTGTACACGTGTTAAGAAGAATAAGTGGTATTGAGAATTGTATTCTCACAAAAGTATACTTGTATTATTTTCCACGAGAGAAGTACTAGTGGTATCACGTTTTCAAAAGTAATAAAGTCAAACTTAGTTCAACATTATCTCGATTCCCTTATTCCTTCAACAGATACTCTTAGCGTTGAGTATCAACATCGCGGCTTTAAGTTTGTCTTTTTCGCTTTATGAAGTGTTGTAGTATAAACTACGCGTCGAAGCCCTTGGCATTATGCGCCACGCAGGTCACGCGTTGAAACGATTTTCTTTTTGGATCGCATGCGAAATCTGAAAACGGCCTTACAGGGTACCTTACCTCGTCAAAAATGTATTTACTCTCATACGTCGCAAGCCGGGCATACCCTCACGAGATCGATATTGTTTACACAGGATGTGCAGACTTGCTGAACGACACACGCTCTTTCCTTTTCCCTTTTGTTTGATAAATAGCGTATTTATGTGATGGCAGTCGAAACATTCAAAGGCAGGGAGAGTCGCATCGCAGAGCGGTTGTCCGAAACAGCTACCACACTTGAGAGAGCACTTACGCTCTGCATCGTGCGTGTAGACCTAGTTACACGGTAAACAAAATCCGTGACTCCCCAACGCACCGCCTAAATTTAAAATAGGCTGATAGTACTCCGAATTATTATAATACAAGATGCGGTCCGTACCCACGGTCTACCGTGGTTTTCCCGGACTGTTCGCGCTATCGACTATCTACGCTCCGTCGTACAGCTTCTCTCACCGCTACCTATATTGTTAAACTCCTAAAAAACAATGGCTATACCCCTCGGGGCGAGGTACGATTTCCGGAATACCGCAGCCTTCAGTGAGTATGTCTACACAGGGGTCTGTCACAAGCTCGAGTGCAAGTCGTTTTTGGAATCTACTTTGGAGTATAGGCAATGTCGACTAGTTTTTTATAATTTTAATGGAGATGATGTTGATTAAGTTTCCAGCTACAGAAAAACAAAAGTTTTATGACGTTTCGGCCCGGTTTTGGGCTCTGTTCAGGTAATTTATAAATCTACAGAAAATATAAGAAAAGAAAACTAATTCTAACATACGTTCTAGCAATTTAAACTTTGTTTATGTATTACAATTTGTGAAATTAAATCTTTGTGAGACATTTGTATAGAAACTTTGTGAGACACTTTTTCTTAAATACTTACAGGTGCGTTAAGGATGAGTCATGTCGTTAATATTAGATAGTATTCCCCGTATAAAAAAATGTACAGAGTCAGGAATTAAAATGTAATGATGTCAAAGGATAAAAAGATATATCGCCCTCTCTTTTTGATACGTCTCATCGTCCTACAATACGATATAATCTCAGGTTATAAGAGATAAGTAAAAGGTAAATACTAGCATATCAGTATACAGGGTGTTCCGAAATTATCTGACCCGGTGGGTATGACGGTATTCGGGAGGCTTCACTGATCACGAAAATGACCTTTCTTTTGTCCGGAAGCTCCTTGTTTTTAAACGGGAGCAGGTCAAACTTGACCGTTAATGCGAGGTGTCAACAGAAACGTAGGCTTCTACGAACTCTGAGTTTCCTTCTCTCGCTTTTGTTTCTCAGTGGCTGTGGGCAGACTGAAGCCATACCTATTAGATATCAATCGCTGAGAACAGTGACGTACTGACTGAAAACTGCAATATCCTATGATAATGTAGGAAATAATAAAGATCTGTCGCAGTAGATAAATCTGAAATCTGTCGCCTACAAGTATTGTTTGACTGGGTGTGGACGATAAAAGCTTTACATATATCTGCTTTTCTCTCTCAGATCCCATACTATGTCAGCACTAATACTTTCTATGCTTCTCTAATTTAATTTTACGATAATGTTATTATTCCAAGACTGAACCGTATTATGAATGCGCCGGATGGAATGCCCATTTCTTTACGATCTTGTTAACCAATTTTTTAATCAATTTTCGATCTTCACAAAATTTGCATTCAACAAATGAATTTTGTCCGTTAGTATGTTATCTGTAATGGATAATACAAATAAAAATTCGAGGAAAAGATCCAGGAACGAGAGTAACTGAAAGCGAAACAAGAAAAAAAAATCCAGAAATCACGTATGCTTACAGCTTAAATTCAATCCATTGTAAATAATAATAAAAGTCTATTATTTTGATTTATTGAGTGACCGTATAATTACCTAGTTTAATTTTTAAAAGTTTAATTTTTTCCTGAAAGTACATTTTCAGTTGATTATAGTAGTATAAGTTTGGGGGTTCTGGATCAAGCGCTTCTTGCAAGCGCAGTGGCGGGGTCAAAGTTATTCTAGAAAAATCTACGTATCGGTTGTTCAAATGCGCAATACCGAACGTTATATCGTAGAGTCGTGCGTCGAGAATGCAGTCCCTCATCCTCCAAGGTGCAAATTACTTGTAGGAGATACGTAACTGCCCGACGCAACTTCGTAGAAGAAGGGCTAAGGTTCATTCCGTTTTAATCCGTGCGCAAGTAGGCCGTAGGCAACTGGGTCCGTGAATGTTACGAGATCCGTGCACAAGTGGGCCGTGGGCATCTGGGTCAACGTAGATTTTAGTCCGTGCGCAAAAGGACCGTGGGCATCTGGGTCAAGGTATATTTCAACCCGTGTGCAAGTGGTCCGTGGGCAAGCTGTCGGTGCGCATTTGGTTCTGCGGGCATGCGGCCTATGCACATCTGGACACCACTCCCATGAAAATTGTGCTTCACCCACAAATTTATCCTTTTGTATTTAGCCGGTAGATGCTTCCATGGACAAGGTGGTTGAAAGAGAAAAGTTGCAGGCTCGGGGAAATTGCTGCGGACTCCAATCATGGATAGCTCCTTCAGAACAAACCGGTTCGAGGGTATCTTGAAACCTTGTACGTCCACGATGAATTCCATTTTTTCTATGAACTGCGCAGGGAGTGCCTCTTTATACCAATTTTTTCACCCCACCACTGATCGGGTTGTAATCAACTACACAATCGTGTAGGATCAGGCAGAATGCCAATATATCGGCAGGGAAATTGTCTTGCGCCTCGAATTCCAGACGAATATTGACAGGTCCAAGTTCGAGGGACTCGTTTTACTTGCAGCAATCGATAACGATCAATGGAGCATACTCAAGAAATTCATTCTTCTTCAGCAAAGGCTCAGGATCCTTACCATAGAACGTAGCTTGAAAGTTTGCGTACATCTCATACAGCAAAGCAAACTGATTATGATCAATGTCAAGATTCAGATTTACGTAGGGATAACATTGCGAATTCAAAAAGAGCTTAACGTCTCTGACGTTGCAGTGGTCAAAGTGACTAGCGTTCTTTTTTTTCTTGTTTTTTCTGCTCGTCTGGAAACCCAGTATCACGTATCGTGGTTTTTCTAACTGAGTCGACATCTTGACGGTCCACACGTGTTTCGAAGTGTTGGGGAATAGAGGGTACTCGTACAGCTTCCAGGTACGAAAGATCACGGAGATGGGTACATCCCTCTCGATGAATCTCAGCAGTTGTATCTTTCGTCAATCTGACACTTTTACGTACGGTATCAGCCATTCCAATTTATGAATTTGCATTCTTTCGGAGTAGTTTGCACTATTGCATTGACATCGCTCTTTGCTCTCGTGAGAATCAACTCGTGTTTAGCGTTAACGACGATCTTGCGATAATCTTCGGCGAAACCTAATATCAGACTCAGCGGTATGGCTACGTCGAAGTAACCGTCTGCATTGGTCAACTTCTCCCGTTCTCTGACGTCGAGCCAACCGGCGTTCTCCATCAAGGATCGTTGCCCGGGACTCAGGGAAGCATATCCTTCATGAGACTCGTGATACCGACGTTCTTGTTCCGGTCGATCTTTATAGCATTCATTTCATAGCGAATCTCCTCGAAGAAATGGCAAATAGCATTATTGACCAGAGTCGTGCTCGCAGTAGCTGTAGACCCATCTTCCTTGACCAGCTTTCCATAAACGTGCAGCGAATTTTTGCTCGGTAGTAAGCATAGCATAGGTATAGCTCTTGATGTTAAACGGAGATTCAAACCTCGTCGCTGTTGTTAAACGTTGACGAGGCGTAAGATTGATGCGCATGCGTTTCACAGTGTGCTATAGATTCATCGAAGACGATCGGTGTCTGAATGTTCAGCGTTTCTTCTTCCATTGTACGCGGCAGACGAAAAGAATGCAACAGAACGAACGCTTTACTTTCCTCTTGTGACTTTGAATCGTAGATTTTCCAGAAACAAGACGTTTTGACGTGTTAGCGCCTTGAGAAACGGTCGACGACTAATCCCTCTTTGGCATATCGGTCTACTATTATAACCACTGCCGATTTTC